AGACTGCGCAGTTGATTATGTTAGTTTAACGGGACGGGCAGTGTTGTACAAATACGCTTTCACACAGCCACTAAATAGGCATTGAATAAGAGATTGATATTAGGATTTTAAGAATTGTTGTCTGGATTATTCAAATGAAGATCTCTATTAGAAAATCAATAATTTTACCTAGCCCTAAAGCAAAGTTAGTCAACTCACTGACTAGTTGGTTTAAAAAATACTTGTTGCACAACCTTAGCGATGACAAAATCCATTGAGTGGAAACTTGCTTTATTAAAGAACATCTCAGCACTGCTATTTTTTAAATTAATTTTTTATTCTCTTTATTTTATATTTATCTAATAATTTTTTTTATTTATCCTTATTCTATTTTATATATATATATATTATTTATACCTCCTATTATACATCCTATTTCTGCCCTATTTTATTTTGATTTTAATTTTATTTATTCCAATTTTTTTAACTATTTTTATTTATCCCTCCTATTATAGTTATTATTATTATTATTTTTTTTTTTTTTATTCCTCCTAATTATTTAATGTATCCCTATTTGATTTTTTGTATTTTATTTTATATTTTGATGTTGTTTTTATCTCTCCTATTTTAGTTTATTTTTCCTTTATTTATTTTAGTATAAATATTTTTTGTATATTTTGCATTATTTAATTTTTATTTATCCCTCCTATTTAATTTTTTATTTTATTTATTTATTAAATTTTTTTGTTTATTCATTCTCCATGTTATTTTATATATTTTTAATTTTATTATTTCATATATTTTTTTTATTTTCCCTTGCAGGTGACTGCAGGCATTTGGTGCCTCGTTGCCATTTTAAGGGTTTTCTGTTACAAATGTATGCCAGCAAGCTGCAAAAATAGACTGTGTGTGCGTTCGTGAATGTGGAGCCTGCAGTGGCTCTTGTAGGAGGAATCTGATCCTTCTTGCCTTGTTCTTCAGCTCCACACCCCCGTCTCAGATGAGGTCCTGATCAATGCACCATCTCATTCAACATTACAGCATTAACACCAGCAGGAGAGAGCAGAGAGGACCTGCTGATGCTCTCCGTGTAGGATGTAGGACTGTAGGATGAGAGAGAGAGTAGGAGACATCTGAGGATGGAGGAGGAGCGGTGTAGATACAAAGAAGAAATGACGTGTGTAGAGCGAGTCAGAGATGTTCAGAATGAACCGCTAGCGTTCAGTTTACTGCATTAGTGTATGTAGGTGCTTTTACACCGCAGTGTGAAACGTAGCTTGCATATAAGGTTAGATATTCGAGAGTTTTTATTTTTATTATCTCTTTAATAGTATGTTTTTAGTTTTATTTTTATTATATTTCTTTAATAGTTTTTTTTAATAGTTTTTTTTAGGAACCATATACATTACCGTTCACACCATTTGCATTAAAGTCGCGATGAAACGGAAGTAGCGACAGATCTTTTACTCTGTATTGTGATTTTTATTTCATTGTAATGGATTACTGAAAAAATGTAGGGCGGGGCTTTATGCATTGGTTGTTGATTGGATGTTGAGATGTGGGCGTGGCTTTCAACAGTGTATGCAGATGAGTGTGATCTCGTGGGGGCGGAGTTTGATGACTAAGGGGGCGTTTACAAAACACAATTTTCAACTAAAAATGGAAAACTTGATGCGTTACGGCCGTTCATTTACACGACAGTGGCGTTTTGGAAATGCGAACTTTTGAAAACGGGTTTTTTAAATTGCAAGTTTTTGAAAACAATACACTTATCGTTGCGAATTTTGAAACGTTGTGTATTATGTGTTCACAGTGTTTCTTTACAAAGTGACATTGCCAACTACTGGCCTAGCGTGCGTAATACAGCTTTTTGGTTGTTTTCACGGGTCCATGTGAACGGGGATCGTCGTCTGTATACAGAACTTAAATAATTTCCGTTCTAGTACATCATCTTCATGTGAGCGTACCCTAAATGATGGGAGAAATCCTGCATCCATGACTTGAAAGAAGTGTGGTGTTTCACCGGATAATCCAGTTATGACATTCTGATTAAAAATAATTGTAAAAAATTGACCTCATAATGTTTATTTTTACAGTTTAAAAAAAAAAGAGAAAATTAAACATGCACACATGAATTAATCACAGTAAGATCTATAATTCATTTAGAAAAGAAATGCATCAATACCCTAGTGAAAAATAAATATGTATTTGAAATGCATTTATTTCATGCCAAGTATACATTTACATATTTATGCACTTAATAAAAATACCCTGCAATTGTACTTTTTGTATTCTTAAAGTCTGCTAAATTGGAGCAACTAATTTTGTACTTAGTGCACTTTAATTGTGTGGAAGTAGTGCTGAAGTCCAACTAAAGAGTATATTTGATTGTGCTAAAGTGGAACTATTGCAAGTATGCTTCAGGTGCACTTTAAATATCTCGCATTTACAGACTGATATTATACAGAGATCATACAGTCCTCATCAACAGTGACATTAAAACACATTTTAGGCTTAATATTAAGAAATGTGCAATGCACTGTAGAGCCTTTTGTACCGTTTACTGCCTACTGTTCTTTAAAAATAGTATGTGAAACTGCATGCATTATGCAATGCTACATGTTGCAGGTTTAATAAAAGTGATTCTTTTTAATGCAATATAATAAACTTGTGGCTTTTGTCACACGAGAAATGGATTTAATGCACTATATTCCCTGTGCTATAATGCACATTTTGGCAGCTCTGCTATTCCTACAGATCATTTGCATACTAGCGCAGTGCGCTGCAGAAATGTAGTGCACATCAGTGTTTTAGTATCTGGGCGTGGTGAAGCTGTGGATCTGGGTCGAGATGCTCGGCCATCAGATGAAGCGTTTCGTTATGCTTCCCTATCATAACGCGAGTGGAACTTTTAAATATCATATTGCTGTAATGCTTAATGATATTAGCCTTTATTGCAGCTCGCCAAACTGATAACAGCCCCGTCATTCTCCAGCGATCCCATGAAGATGTTTGTTGCGCTGCTGTGTGTTTTTACACTGTATCGCATGTTTGCAGAGTTCACCTTACCGCACGCCTTTCTCCCTCCACGCCTCCGATCAAATTACTCTGATGAAAGACAGGTAATACAAGGCCTTTCCCTTCTCTTTCTCTCTCCCTCACATCTGCTTGCTTTCCGCTCGAATGCATTATACAGAAACGTTAAAGGGGTCATATGATGCTTTTTTAAAGATCATTATTCTGTGTTGGTTATATTAGCTCTCGACATTCAGGCCGACTTCAGGGAACGGTGGCTTTTCTTTAAAGCGACTGCAGTGAAACCCGGCGCTCCAGATCTGTCTGCGTTCACGTCTCACCTGCCGTTTAGCGCGGTAGGATGATGCTTATTCTCAGTGCCATCGGGGAATCGCGGAAGGGGGTCTATACAAAATAGCTAGTTTGGAGGTAAAAGCAGAGCGAGCTGTTAAAGACTGGATCTAAAACCAGCACTACAGTACTGAAGCATGAAATCATGCTGTTGGGATAGTCAGGCGGTGTGATGTAATCTTCTGAAGGTTTACTAGCTAAATCTGTTTTTTTTTTTTTTTTAGCATTCTATTTTTTTTTGCATTAATATTTCAAGGCGGCATGAAACAGAAATAGCAATCGTCTTCTCTGCTGTGATGCATATTCGAGTGAAACCGCTTCTTGAATAAAAAAAAAATGTAGGATGGGACTTGATTTTAGTGTTAATTATAAATGATTAATCTATGCATATATATATTTGTTTTCAATTCATTTGCACTATATGAATAAAAAAAGTGCATGGAAAAATGGTTTATAATAAACATTGACAATACTGTATGGAATGTTGCAGCTTCTAATTTTTATAGTGAAAATATTTAAATTAAAAATTGAGGTTATGCCATCAACATTAACAATATTTAATATTTTATGTAGTAGGGTCAAAGACGAAAAAGGGTTTAAGCAAAAAAAAAAAAAAAGTGTAATACTGCTTTAAATTGTTGTTGTTTTTCCTCAAAAAATGTAAAAAAAAAATATGTTTAATTTATTTGCAATTTTGTTTTTCTGAGCAAAAAATAATAAAAATATCATACATTTTCCCCTGATTTACAGAAGAGACCCACTAAAATGTCATTGTGTAACAATTTTGTCAGGCATATTTACAACAAAAATCAATTTGTGACATATTAAAAGACTAATTACAAATTGTGACATTTTATTCTCCAAAAACGTATTTGAAACCTTAAAAGTAGACACTTTACTTACATTTAATGTGCTTTCTATGGACATATAATCACTTTTGTACATTTCTTTTGATGCAGACATCTTAATGTCTTTGACCCAGACATATATAACTTGTTAATGTATATAATTTATTAAAATTACTTTTTTATATATATTTTGCATTATTTTATTTAATTAAATAAATAATTTAATTAAATATTTGTTTTAAGTATATTTATTTATATTTTTTAAACTAAAGTCTAATTTGTTAATTTATATATTATTGTTTAATTTAAAGAAAAAATGACCATTTTCAGTTTTTGCAGAGTTATTAATATTAAGTATAGTACATGGTTTTAAGAATCGTTAAATTTCATTTATATTAGTGACATTGGTAGTGTTGCTAAAACTGTCTTCAAAGATGTCATGTTAATTGTTGCATGGTTTAATTTAATCTAAAATGGGAAAGAAAAGTAAATGCAACATGCAAAATACAAGGATGATGCCTTTTAAATTCATATCTCTTTAAAGCGCTGTTACTATAGCCATCGAAGCACAACCTTCAGCAATAGGATACTGACAGTTTTGTAAAATAAATGTTGTAGTTATTCACCTATTTACCCTTTTGTAGGGCCGTAGTTGTTTTCCTTAAATGGCATCTGAAGAGGTTTCTTCTTTGAGAAAATCGATGGGATTTTACTGCTGCTAATTAACTAGTCGTTCAGACAGTCTACCAACTAGTTTGAATGTCAAACGTAACTAAACGCCTGTATCCCTCTCTCTTTTCTTCCTAGGCGAAGTCATGTATATGTCACCTGTGTGGAGCTCATTTAAATCGGCTTCACTCCTGTCTCCATTGTGTGTTCTTCGGCTGCTTCAGCAAGAAACATATCCACGAGCACGCCAAAAACAAGAGACACAACCTAGGTAAGATGCACGCAGAGACTTACTCATACGCATCTCAGCTGCTCTAAGGTAAGACTCGCTCCCACACGGAAAATAGAGCACACGATCGCCACAATTAAAGCTCCGATAGAGCTGATAAATAAAGGGCACAGAGTCACAACACTTTAGGTCTCTGTGAGAAGGGTTTGAGACGCACATTGAATATTGAACAGAGAGATATTCTGATTTAATTAAATAGCTCAGCTCTACTTGCACCAAAACTAGGGCCCTGTATAATCAGTTTTATTTATTTGTTTATTTTTTAATTAAACTTTAATACGCAAAGCATGTCTAATCATTTGAATTAATCAATCTTTAACAACTTAATAGTTTTTTTTTTTTTTTTTTACAATAATGGAAAAATGTACGTTTTTTAAAAATTATTTTTATTATAATTTTTTTACACTGAAATTCTTGTCTGTTTACATTTCTGGATTTATGATTATTATATATAAATAATGAAAGAAAACATTTTTTGATTTATATATTTATGATTTTATATATATAAATAAAAATTTAATTACAAAATGTTTTATTTAATTGTTTATTAAAAAAAAATTATTTATGTATTATTATTTCAGTCGTAATTTTTCTGGATTCCATTTTAATGGGTTAATTAAATTTTAATAATCAAAAAGCATGTCTAATCAATGAAATTCATAAAACGTAATAGTTTACCATTTTTGTTACAATAATAAATAAATAAAAAATGTGCTAAAAATGTCAATAATTGAGGCCTGTCATTTTTTTTTTTTCCTGGAATTGTGTTGTCCGTTTATTTTTTTTATGGATTATGATTCAATAAAAATGTATAATGAAAAAACTGTGGTAATTAAACAGTTAACAATTGAATTACTCTTTTAAAACGTAATCAGAAAATTTAAAATTCCTTTTGTTTTTTGCTAAACAAAGTACTGCACAACAGAGGTTTACTGTTAAAAATCATGGAAGAAAGTTTACACTTTAAATTCCATTTTTATGACTGGATTCCGCAATTATGTTTCCGCATCGAAATCATAAGTCCCTTCAAAACCCAGTTTCATGTCTGCTGTAAAAGCTTGATCGTCCTCTCGAGCAAGAAGCAGCAAGTGCACAGATCCGGCCGCGGATGCTTGGAAGGGGTCTTGGATTTTTCCCAGCTCCTTAATGCATCGCTGGCATGTAATTATCCCCTCTGTTATAATGAGGAACGGTGCCACCCTCCAACAACAAACAAATAAAAAGCGCAAACAGACGGGAATGTGGGTAATTATAGTATGCAAGGGGATAATAGTTCCTGACTCTGCGTGTGACTCGCGGCGTTTGTTTCCAGCGGTGGCGTAGAGTTCATCACCCACCTGTTTCATACAGCTCTGAGCTTTACATGAGGAATTTAATTACTTTCTACCTCGAGATACGGAGCTGCCGTCTCTGTCTGCCACCCTTTGGGAGTTCCTTGTGTATTAACAGAGGAAGGAACACCTATGATACGGGCAACAGACTAGGGTTGTGACGGTGAGGAAATTTCCCCACCGGTTAATCGACGTGTGACAACACCGGTATCACCGCGTTTCCTCTTTTCCTCGCTTTCCTTCGCTTTTAAATAGCTTGTAAAAGTGGTGTGCGCATTTTACTTTCACTTTCAAATAGCGGCAATTCGGCGTCAATTGCTTGAATGCAACAACAAAATACAACGTCAAACTCACTTTAGCCTATATATAAAACATAGAACTTTTATTAACAAAACAAATAAAAATACACCATGCTATAGGGCAGGCTATGCCTAATATAAAATAACAAATAACTTACGCTGCATTGAGCAGCCGCGTTCAGTTTTTAATTGTAGTGTCTGCTCTTTTACTGAACTAAATGATTTTTATTACTATAAAAAAATCAAAACGGCGGTGGGCAAGTGACGTAACCGGTGTTGCGGCTTAACAACTGTATCACCGTCAGCACCGTCTATCGCGGCAAGCCTACAACAGACATGCAAAATATCGACTTGTGAGTTACTTCTGATTCCAACAGAAATGTATATTATTTTCGAAAGGCAGTCTCTTTCTGTAATGCATCATTCACAGATGGCCTGAGTGGCTCGAATCGGCCATGCTGACTCATAGTGTGCTGCTGTTGGACGTTGTCGCCCGTTTAAGCATCTTTTATGTCTCTTGATGAACAAATGAAGTCCCTTGCTGCTGATCCAGTGTGGTTTGTTTGGCTCCAGGTGATGGTTTATGGTTTCTCGTGCCGCAGGCGTCATAATGCATCTGCAGCATCACCGATAGCTCAGGTTTCGCTGCGTTCCCAGGTGGCATCGAGGCATCGCTCGTGTGTCGAGTTCCCCTCGGGGTTTGATTGAACATTTAATTAGGTTAGCCTGCGTACAAGGGATGTCTGAATGAGCGCAGCTCCCGAGGAGGAAAGCTGTGATTATTCTCCAAAGACGAACGGGGAGTAATTAAGTCTGATTGAGCCGGCTTCGTTTTGTGCATCTCTGTTGTTCAGGTTTATTTAGATGGCGTTTTGTTTTTTCGTCTTCTCTGTCTTGTCGGCTCACACTTGTCAGGCTTGATCTCTGTGTTCTTTCCTCTTTTTCCTGCGCTGGTTCCCATGGTTACCTGAAGGCCTGCTATGCTTTTGGTTTATTCATCTGATGCCTGTGTGTGTGTGTGCATCATGCAACCCCGCCTCGTTTTCTTGTGCAACTTCTCTCTTTTCTGCTTGTCTAATCCAAATAATGTTAAAAGCCATCATGCATGACCACTGTCTTAAAAAATAGATGAAAATGCAACGCTTTAAAATAGTGTCAAAGTTGAAATAAGACGGATATATTGAGAGACCGTTTCTTCCATATTGTGATGTACACCCAAATGAAAAGAAACAATGTAGTCCTGGTTCTATCCATCAGTTGTTTTAGCGGAGAAATCCCAATTTTAAAGCCCAAAGTTAACTAATTATACGCATTAGCAATCAGAGTTAATAATTACACTTATTTTTTCAAATGCCAGAGTCACCATGGTAAAAATTGTGACAAAAAAATGAGGAAAAAAGTATTCTTAAAAATATATTTTTTTTAATTAAAAATGGTAACACTTTACAAAAAAATAAGATAAACCATTTAAGTATGAAATAACCAGTGTCGTTTTAGTATCATTGATTAACTGTTATTATTTTGAATTAGATTTTATTTTATTTTTAAATTTTTAGTAATCTTGTGTTTTTGTTTTTATATATTTACATATATTTTATTTACATATTTTACATAATGCACATTTTACTTTTTAATAATAACAATAACTTTAATAGCATTTATTAATCTAGGTTAATGTTAATTCTAAATACATTTTTAACATGGTTAACAATTGTTATGAACAAACATTGAACAATGGTATATTTATAAATTAACATTAACCTAGATAAATAAATTCTGTTAAATATTGTTGTTCATAGCCATTTGTTAACAACCAAAAGTACATTGAGTGGTAAAATGTTACCGTTAAAGAATGTTTTACATTTAATGAATCTAATGCACCAGGAATGGTAATGAACAGGATTATAGCTTAATAATAGGAATGTACTATCATAACAATATCAACCCTCTTCATTTTGTGAAGACAGAATGCATTTAATTTCTGTGATGCATTTGTGAGTGCAACAGAAATATTTTAGAGGAAAATAAAAGGTGTTTAATAAAAAAGGGAAAAAATGGTGTTTATCCAGTAGGATTTAATTGGATTGTGGTCATTAGTACATGATATTGCATTTCGTTGCATTTTAATGCAAGCATTTTTTTGGCTTGCACTAATAAACCATAATCATAACTTTGATTTACCACATGCCTGTGCTGATTGTTAAAGTCCTGCCAGTTGGACACTGAGACTTCTGTCCCTTTACAACAACTGAAAATAGCCGTGCGAACATTCAGCCGCTAGTCTCTCTTCACTGAAAGCCACTAAAAGCCTCATAGTCTCCCGAGCACCTGTCGGCGGCTTGTGCCAGGCTGTGCATTGGTGTCGTGTCACAAATAGACGCCCGTCCCCGCTGCTGCGCTCCACCTGCGAACATTTAGTGCGTCTGTGTGAAACAGACAATCATTGGGTTGCCATGGGAACTGAAAAACAGGTACTGCCGCTGCAGACTCGGAGAGATGGAGGGATGAGCATTCGAGAACGATAATTCATAAATAATACTCCTCATTCACAATTACGGGTCTGCGTTGATATTGCAATGCTCGCTATGACATTTCACAGAGGACACGATATTGTGGCACAAGCAGCGATGGATGTTTTCTGTGCTGCACCCTAATTATTATTCCCATCACTTATTAAAGGAGGCAGATTTGCTGCACTGCTTGCAATGCTTCCTTAATGCCTCATCCATATTTACAGGACAGATACGGGAAGATGCGAACGCCAACTTCTCTAAAAGGCCTCTAATAGGTTCCTGTGTTGTTCTTCTCTCATTCAGCTATAGATCTTTTGTACGGTGGAATATATTGCTTTGTGTGCCAAGACTACATATACGACAAAGACATGGAGCAGATTGCCAAAGAAGAGCAAAGAAAAGCGTGGAAATTGCAAGGTAGGTCCCCCCTTCTCTTATGCATAATGTAGTTCAGCTTCGCCTGTAGCTTAAGGTCCTGTTAATTCAGAAAACCAATGTTGCAAGCTGTTGGGTTGCGAGCCACAGGAGGGCGTGAGTGTGTGTTTTGTTTCAGACACTGATAACGGCTAATTTTTCTTGATGATTTTGCTATTGAATCTGCTTGATTGTAAAATGCAGCAGTGCTAAACCAGTTTTGTGTTTGCTGAAGGAAATGTAAAAAATAATAGCGTTCTGATTTTATGCAAGTTTTACACAGGTTTCGTTTAAATTAATTGCTCTGTCTTTGTCATGACACTGCATGTGAATATAACAGTGACGTCATTGCATTTTGAGCTGGTTTGATCGTAGGCCTCATTGATCTGAGCTCATGCAGTGAACGCTGCCAAAATTACCCACAAATGTTTTTCACTTAAACTGAAGTACATAAGCTCAAATAAACCAGGCTAAATTATTTATATAAAAGTTTAATTTTAGACAAGCCCTAACTAGAATATATACATTACTATTCAAAATTTTTTTTGAATAATAAAGAATATTTTTATGGGTTTTTTTTGTGCTCACCAAGGCTGCATTTATTTGATCAAAAATACAGTAAAAAATGTAAAATATTATTACAATTTAAAACAACTGTTTCTATGTGAATATATGGTAAAATGTAATTTATTTCTGTGATCAAAGCTGTATTTTCAGCTTCATTACTCCAGTCTTCAGTGTCACATGATCTTCAGAAATCATTCTAATATGCTGATTTGCTGCTCATTAAACATTTCTGATTATTATCAATGTTGAAAACAGTTGTGCTGCCCAATATTTTTGTTGAGACTGATACATTTAATTTTTCAGGATTCTTCGATGAATATATTTGAAAATAGAAATAATTTTTTACATAAAAAAAGTCTTTACTGTCGCTTTGTATCAATTTAATGCATCTTTTCCTGAATAAAAGTATTGATTTCTTTAAAAAAAAAAAAAAGTTGTGTATATTCATAGGTTGCTTTATATGAAATATAATGCAAGAATTCTCTAAAACATCAGGTATTGGAGAGAAATATTCAATGTGGGAGCCTACGAAACGAGAGCTGGAGCTGCTGCGACACAACCCCAAACGAAGGAAAATTACAGCCAACTGCACCATAGGTAAGAACTTCATTTCCCACAGGCCTCGCTTCTGAGCGATTCCCCCGAAACCCTGCTCGATAATACAGCACTTAGTAGTTGATTAGGAGTCTGCCAAAACTCATCTGTATAAAACTAGTCGGTTCAAACGATCTTGTAGTAGTCAAGCATCTGGAGACTGCAGCGGAGCCAAAAGCACTCTTTTTTTTTATTGGCCAATCAGTTGCGAACATTTCATCAATGTTGGTGTGTGCGTGCCATGACGGAGAGAGAGTAAGAGTCTCTGTGCACACAAATAAGGAGAGATGTGGATGTTGGCCATTAGAGAAATAATCCTTCTCCTCCTCAGTGCTTCGGCTCTCTCCCTTCTCTCATTTTGGCCTGTTTCTCCTCAGTCAGAGGGCCTGGCACTGGAGTAATAGTGTTAAACGGCTGCGCCACAGGCCTGGCATAGGCGCTAAACGCCAACCTCTCTCACACCCAGAGAAACGCACTAATGCGATTAGCCATATGAGAGCCGGAGCTTCCATTGATCATTTAGGACATAATATGGCCCATGCATGATGAATTCAGTAGGGTTATTGAGTGAGGTGTTGGTTTAGAGCCTCTCTTACACCCAGAGTAAACCGGAGGCGTGCGGTGACACAACGAATCACGACAGCTTGAGGCTGCGTCTACTGGAAGTGTCAAAACATGTTCGTTAAAGACGGGCCAATCAGCTGCGAGCTCAGCGCTTCACTTCAGGACAATAAAATAAATAAAAAATCCAGTTTTCAACAGCAAAATCATTTTGCACAAAGTCATTTTTTATACCGGTAGATTTGTACTCTAAAGCAACTAGGATTGGGAATTGGGACACACAGTTATACAGATATACAGAATGATGTTAAATATAAAATATAGCACTGCAGTGTAGTCTTAAAGCAGAACAAAAGAGTTTCTTGAGGCAGCTCTTTATAGTGAATCGAAAATATACAGCACAACTGATTCCTGAGTTTTTTTTTTTTTTCAGTGAATCAAAAACATACTGCATAACCAGAATAGTCTGATTCTTGAGTAAATAACTTTTCAGAGCCAATTATTTATTGTGAATCAAAAACATTCTGCTTGACTAGTGAGCTAGCGACTAGCGAACTGTTTCCTGAACGAATGACTCTACTGAATGAACGAGTAGGTTCTTTTTAGTGAATTGAAAACCTAAAGCACAATCAATTGGTGTGATCCAATTGATTCTTTTACCGATTCTTTTGAGTTGGTCCTAGTGAATCAAAACCATACAGCACAACCAGAGTCTGATTCTGAAGCAAATGACTCTTTTGAGTAGGTTCTTTTTGGTGAATCAGAAGCCAGTGTGATCAAACAGATTCCTTTACTGACTCTTTTGAGTTGGTCCGAGTGAATCAAAACCATATAGCACAACCAGAGTAGTCTGATTCTGAAGCAAATGACTCCTTTGAGACACATTTTTAGTGATTAAAAAATATGCCGCACATCCAGAGTAGTCCGATTCTTGAGCAAATGATTCTTTTAAAGCCATTTCGTTACCTTAAATCGAAAAACACAGCACAACCGGACTGATCCGACCGATTCCTGAACGAATGACTCTTTTGGGCTAGTTCTTTTTAGTGAATCACACACATCGCTTACAACTTACTGTTTTGTTTTGTTTTACTGTGAAACTTGCATCACAATTATCACAATTATAATTAAGGCTGACTATCTAAAATGATACCAAATATTCCTCCAAACTTCAAGAATTATTAATGGAACTGTGGAATCACTACCAGCATCATTTAATTACTTACAATAGCAATGCCTAAAAACAACTTGTGTATGCACACCCAGTTTATTTTGTGCAAGCAGTTTGTTTTTGGTGGATGCTGGTTTGTGAAGCAGTGGGTCGTTGTCAGCAGCGGTGTGTGTGTGTGTGAGCAGGATCAGGCGTCTATATGATGTTCATTAATAATATATTAGCACTTGAAAGCGTGAGGTGCCGCAGGAGGCGTGTCTCTCTCCAGATCTTCTCATGCTCTGCTACTTGTTTTGGTCGTGTGTCCGTCTCCGTGCCTCTCTTTAACTAAACTCTGGGAAGCGTGAGGAGCAGATGTCTGGGAGTGAAGCCAGTTGAAGACGTTTAGCCACCCGGTGAGAGGAGCGCAGGCCTTCTGTCCGCTCGTTCCTCCTGTAAGCTGTCAAACTGAGCGAGAGGGAGAGGAGGCTCTGACGGGGCTGTGCACTTCAGATCGAGTCGAGGATATTTACCTTGTGAAAATGCATTGGTTTGCTCAGTTTTAACCATTTGCACAAGCGCTCAACTGAAGAGATTTGGTTTATCAATCCGATGTTGTTGTGTCCCTGCAGCCTGTGCTGCCAGACTAGATTTTCTAATAGGCCAAGAACTTTTCACCATTTGTTTTTGTTTTATGCCCTTTTAAATAATTTTTTCAATTTGTTTTTATATGCATGTTGCCCAAATTGGTTTCTGTGTAACCTCCAGATGGACTTATATTTTATTATTATTATTTTTGAATCTTTATTGCATATTACTCATTCATTATTATTATTATAATTATAATAATTACTAATAAAATTGACAAATCGTAAATGTAAAGTAAATAAATAAAATGTTATTGTTAATTATAGTAATGTATAAATAATAGTAAATTATTAATAAAAGGGGTGGTACAGTAAATACAAAGTAAATTAATAAAAAATTTTTTTTTAATTTAAACATAAATTACTAATAAAAATTGACACCGTAAATATGAAGTAAATAAATTATTCTTAATAATAATTTATAAATAATAAAGTGCTAATAAAAATGATGACAATAAACAATGCAATGTAAATTAATAAAATTTATAAATAATAAATTACTAATAAAAATGGTGATAACCGTAAATACAAAGTAAATAGTTATTATTGTAACTATTATTATTATTATTATTAATAATTATAATTATTTACAAATGATAATAAATATCAAATCAAAATTATAACAGTAAATAATACAAAGTAAATTACTAATAATAATAACAATAACAATTGTATATATTTTTTCTTTTTATGGTTTGTACATTTTTAGTCATTATCAACAATTTAATAATAATAATAATAATAAATTTAATAATTTAATAATAAATAAGTATTTTATATTCATTTGTTCTTACTCTGTAATTTTTATAGTAATGTATTATTATTAATATTATTATTATTATTATTTATAAATAATAATACAAATTATAACAGTAAATGATACAAAGCAAATTAATAATAATACCAATTGTATTTTTAATTCACTTTTTACGGTTTGTACTTTTTATTTTTATTTTATTTTTTAGAAATTTAGTATCAATAGTTAAGTTAAAAGGAAAAGCTAAAAAGTTTAGAATTTTAAAACAGTTTAAAAATGTAAAATTATATTTTATTTTATAAATATTACTGGTGATGAGTCTTTTATTGTGAATACTCAGCCACAACATTTCTTCATGTTCATCCTTATTTCTACCTCTCTCCATGTTTCCCGTCTCGTCTCTTCCAGGACTGAGGGGTTTGATAAATCTTGGGAACACGTGCTTTATGAACTGCATCGTTCAGGCTCTCACACACACTCCGCTGCTGAGGGACTTCTTCCTGTCCGACAGACACAAGTGTGAGATGCAGTCCAACTCCTGCCTGGTGTGTGAAATGTCTCAGCTCTTTCAGGAGGTGAGCACTCAACACACACACTCACTCACTCACTCACTCACTCACTCACTCACTCACTCACTCACTCACACACACACACACACACACACACACACAAAAACGAAACATTAACTATAACGCGTTTCATAAAATACAACTACTGGCCAGATTTCCGAGAGGTAAACTAATGCGTTAAAATGCCGAAAACTGCTGTAATTTTTTCAACTTTCTGGCGAGTGTGCTTGAGAAGCACTGAAATGAATGGGCTTCAATATAGTTGTTTGGAACTATTGGCTGCTCCATGACTCGCTTTACTTCCACATTCCTCAGTTTCTATGGAAACCTATGGGAGTGTCGCAACTCTGTTTCTCAACGGCTCTGTTTACAACAGTTTCGAACGTGGCTCAGCCAATCAGAATCAAGGACCGGAACTATCCGTTTTATAAACCCATATATGAGACGCATATCTGAGGAAAAACGCCACCTAGAGTGGAGGCGTGAATTAGCAGAAGGCGATCAATCGTTTCGCGTTCAGTGTGAAAGCACAGTTCGTCGGCGATTCGCCTCGCTCTTTGGCATCGCGCTCCGTGTGAAACGGCATTTACACGCCCATTTCTGGAGTCTTTTTCAGGTCTAAGGTGTGAAAGACCAGTGCAGAAACGGGGGGGTTTCATGACGCTTTAAACCTTCTGTGGTGCATGTCATCCTCCTCTCTTTCGTCTGTCCTGTAGTTCTACTCGGGTCACCGCTCTCCTCACATTCCCTTCCGGCTGCTTCACCTGGTTTGGACTCACGCTCGACACCTCGCCGGCTACGAGCAGCAGGACGCTCACGAGTTCCTCATCGCTGCTCTGGATGTGCTCCACAGACACTGCAAAGGTACTGCAGCCAATCAGACGCCACTGTTTCAGTGCAGCAGCCAATCAGAGGACAGCTGGGTTAAACCACTTCGTTCAGAGTTGAATGTGGGATTTTACTACTTGATATTTCAACATGACTTGATTGCGCAACATTTAGAGTATGTAGCAACCAAACTGTATATTACTCCATTTTTATGTTATGATTAATATTACTAATTTCAATTTATAAATAATACATTTCTAATAAAAATTGTGGCAAACAGTAAATGCTATTATAAATGCTATTATTATTAATAGTCATATTTTATAAATAATTATAATAATACATTAATAGTAAAAGGTGATGAGTAAACAATAAAATCATAATAATGGAAAAAATAATAAGAAATTCAGATGAGACAGATATGGGATTTTCCTACTTGAATTTTCAACATTACTTGATTGTAAAACATTTATGATGCAGCAACCAAATTGCATATTAATCATTGATTTTATGTTGTTGTTAAAAAAAAAAAAAAAATAATAATAACTTATAAATACGTTACTAATAAAAACGGTAAATGCAGAATAAAGTAATAAAAAATTATTATTTAATTTAATAATAAATGGGGATAAGAGTAAATGATTCAAAGTAAATGAATAAAATAATAATAATATACAAATAATAATACATCCCATTAAGAGTAGGATATGGGTTTTTGCTACTTGATATCTCAACAGTACTTGAGATGTAGCAAACAAACTGCATATTGCTCATTTATTTTTTGTTGTTATTAAAATAATCATCATCATATATAAATAATACATTCTAAAATAAATAGATACAAATAAATTTACTAATAAAGTTACTAAGATAAATTGTGATAAACAATAAATACAATGTAAATTAAAAAATATTTTGTTAATAAATTAATAAGACATGATAAGAGTAAACGATACAAAATAAATGATTAAAATAATAATTTAGAAATAATACTAAATTAATGCAGTGCATGTTTTCTATAGGTGTAAGATCCATCATTTGCCGTGTTTTTTTTACACAGCTGTTTCTAAAAACTGCAATTTGTTTCTGTCAATTCTATTTTCACTGAGTGTTTAGTCTTAATTTTGTGATTTATTCACCATGTTTGTGTGCCGCATCTCTGCGAATAGTGGTTTTTTGCCAGGTTTCAGAGTTGGAAGGCCGTCTTCAAGATCTGTTGCACTTTATCCAGTAGGAAGCTGCAAATCTTTCCGAATTGAGTGAAACGCAGCATTAGCTAGTTAATCATATTAGTTCCACCTGGCTAGTTTAGAGATGAAATGGGTGGCACGGAGCAGGAGAGGTAATGAAGGAAGGCTGCGTGATGCGTGTTAATGGTGACAGCTGTGGGAACGCAGGACAAGCCGGAACAGAATGAGTTTGCCGATTGAGCTGTTAAAGATGAAGTGTGTGGGTTCTGAGCCACATCATCTGCCATTGGCTGGACAAACACAAAGCCCCGCCCCAGAATAACGCCATTGGTGGAGCCGGTGGGGCTGTGTTGGGCTGATCTGATGCTCAAACAAACAGAGCAATGTTTTGGTAGAAAAAGTATTTTAACATCGAGAAAATTACACAGATTTACCTTTAAAGGCATAGTTCACTCAAAAATGAAATTCTGTCATTTACTCATCCTCATATTTTGAAGAATGCTACCAAACAGTTTCTGTGGCTTTTTTCTCCCTACTGTGGATATCAATGGATACCAGCAACTTTTGTTACCAACATTCTTCAAAATATCTTCCTTTGTGCTCTATTCTATTTGCGTGTGTCTGTGTGTGTCTGTGTGTGTGTGTCTGTGTGTGTGTGTGTGTGTGTGTCTGTGTGTGTGTGTGTGTCTGTGTGTGTGCGTC